GTAATAATTACAGACATTAATTACAACCCGTAATTGTCGTAAAAAACATAAGTAATTATGTCTTGCCGGGGTTCGAAGGTCAAAGTATGATTTCTTTGAAAGTACTTATGTTTAAACCAATCAATATACTTTTAACATTTCAGTAGAATGCTTTAATATATAAGGGAGGGTCAGGTATTCTGGCGCACCTAAGCTGCGCTGCCAATTAAAATTTTATAAATTAATATTTATTTCTAAAATTCGTTTAACCAACTAATTTAATGCTTGGCTATCTGATAACGAAATAAAAAAATTTGTATTTTTACTAGAAAAATTTGTTTATTGCAACTTTTTTGAAAGTGATTTTTTTAATCATTATTCTATTAGGTGGGGGATTGTGGCGCACTGCAAATGTAATAATATCTACATACTGCATAAACTTTATAATTGGCCGAATTCATAATATAAATAATAAATTACTAAATTAAGCAGACTCTTAAGGGGTGCTGGGTGTTCGAATACACTTTAGTTAATTTTTGTTTTTTATCTTTATTAACATTGCTTGAACCTTGTGGCCAAAAGTTTCCAAGAATTCCAATTAAAGCGAATTTAACACCATTCGATTCGTCTCAGTAAGACGAATCGAATGGTACTAAAAAATTTCATCTCCAATCGGTGTATCGCAGTATATCATCAAAAAACACAAGTGCGCCACATTACCTCCCGTGCCAGAATACCCGACCCTCCCTTACGTATAGTAGTATAGATTTGGTATATTTGGACATACTCGTGATTATTGACATCTACCAGCTACATGTGAATTTGTTCTCAATTAGTTGTCATTAGCAAGCTTATCTTATTGCGCTAACTATTACATGTTTTAAGTGTGTTTATCTTTATTTGAATGTGATACTGTACATTCATTTAAGCTATCTTTTATATAGCTTTTTCATAATGAAATCTAATTCTACCATCTGCATTTTTACAAAATGTGAACTTTTTGTCATTTTCTTGAATATAAAGCTTATCAGATTCTATGTTATCATTAAAATAAAGTTTACCAATAAATTCTTCAAGTTTTTCACAATATTTTGGCAAATTGTCTAAAGGTGGTAAATCATAGCCTTTACTTTCAAAATCAATTGAAACTTTTGCTTGTACTGGTTTAAAACCAACTTTCTCAAGGATACTCCATAAAGTGATATTTATAGGCCTGACTGTAGTGTAAAATTGTTCTAATCCTTTGCCATTAAATTGAAAGATTTCTTGAATCCTTTGATTATTTTGTTTGTCAAGATTTTCCTTAAGCCAATTCTATGTACTTTTGGGCCCCACTCATTAACCATCTTGCTTAAGACTAAGTGCCCAATACCGTTGCCCCAATATTTCTGAGACAATGCATAGACTATTTCGGATCTGCCTTTTTTTTCAGTAGGTTTAGATAGTATAAATCCTATGAAATTATTTTTTTTATCAAGAATGGTGAGTGCACCTTTAGGTTGTCCTATTTGATATTCATTTACTCTAGATTCAATTTCTTTACTACTTAATTGCCTTTCTTGATACATATATTTCATGATATTTATATTGGATAATAGATGTTCATAATTTGGTATGTCATGCTTCTGAATTTCTCGAGCAGTCCATTCTTTATTATTTTTATCAACACCATTAAGACACCGATATCACATCATTATCGGAGAATTTAAAAATTGATCTTGTCATACTTTGTAAGTAATCTATTGATTCAAGCTTCCAAAGAAATTTAAACTATAAATTTGATTTTTGTTGCACTCGATTTGGTATCTCAGATATATGAAAATCCAATACTGTTATATCCACAATTCACAAATTAAAAAAAAAGTAGAAAGCCTACAAAATAATAATTAAATCATTTTATTGGTAAAGTTAATTTACTAACCAGAATTTTGCATTTATTTTCTACATTGTTATTGTTGTATTGTAGAAAGTGTGATAGTTAACACTGCTCCTCTTAGATCAAGATTTAATTATTTTAATTTAAATAGAACAATTTAGTAATTGTAATTTTTGAAAGAGGATTTAATATTGTCTAAAATTCTTTAAATTAAGTGAATTTTAGGATACATATATTTAATGATGCAAGAATATTTGAATAACCAAATCGACAGTTTTTTAAAATTACTTCGTATTTTTTTTGAGCAAAATGCACACCTAATTGCTAAAGATAAGAATCAATATATTTGCACAAGATGCAAATATGAATCAATGAAATGCATAAGATGCAAAATGAATAAAGCTATTTTTCCAACAAAATTAGCATTTCATTGCAAAATATGTGATCGTGTTTTTTTGAGGGAGCATGATATTAAGCAGCATAGCAAAGCAAAACATAATATGTAAAGAAAAAAATAGGTTACGTTTCAAAAAAAAAGCTTTTTTAAATTAAGATATTAAATCAGATTAGCTGTGTACTAAATATGATAAAAGTATAATTCTTTTACACAAAGCTATACCGATAATTGTATCATTAGCTCTTGAAAATCACCTGCATTGTAAAACTAAATTGTATTACTTTATGTAAGACTTCGATAAAGTACGTTGTCTTTCAATTATCAAATAAAATTAAGCTATTATATTTTAAAATGATTTATTATTAAAGATAATTGTTGAATAAACAATTCAATTAGCTGGATATTAAAAATAATTCAATTTCTCAATGCAGCAAAATTTTTACATGCAATTATTTTTTTAAATGATTTATTAAAATAATTGTTATAAGCAACTATTGGATTTGTTAGAGTGATAGTAACACAGTTTCAAGAAATTTTTTGGATAATACGCAAACAAATTTTAATTACTTTTTTTATTTTTTATTTTGTTTTTTTTTTTTTATTAAATTGTTATTATTCAATTATAGTAATTATGGAATCAAACAAATTGAAAACAATAAAAGACGATAATTATTGCATGATGAAATTTTTGAGTTAACAAAACTCACTTGGTATTAAATTTATTCCACAAGAATCAGATGAAAAACAATATTTTTCTCTCTCAAAACTAGTTGATTTTTATATGATTCCCATACATCGATCAATTAAAGAAGCGATCAAGCAATTAGTTCTAGATGTTATCAATGAATATTCCATTTGTCCAAAACTATTACAAAATTAATAATTAAAATTAAGCTTAAAGGTATAAAACCTAAAAAATCTTGTTAGTGATAAAAATTTGTCATTTAAACTTACATATCGAATCACGTATGATAAAATGTGAATAAAATATTTGAAATTATTTAATCAAATTAATTAAAATTTTGATCAAATACAAATATTTGATTCAAAATTTGATTTGCGAAGTACTAAAATTATTTGGCTACTTACTATGATATTTGGCAAATTCAGATTATAAATTTGGCTCTAAAGAGAAATACATCTTTAAAGGCCATTGAAGAAGGGATACGTATCACTTCACCGACGTTAGTTTCATAGACATAACATTTTACTGACAAAAATTCACCGAATGTCTATTTCACCAAAAATTTTTCGTAGACAAGTTTATTTCATCGACAGTTTATTTCATATAAATTCCATTAACCTTAACTCTAATTCTAACCTCACCCTAATGCAGGAATGGTAAATGACCTTCAAATGACCTTCAAATGACCTTCAAATAACCTCAAATGACCTCAAATGACCCCAATTTTATTATGAATTTTAGTCCGAAATGACCTAGATCATTTGAAAAAAGGCAAATGACCTCTAATTTTACCATCCCTGCCCTAACGACAATAACCAGGATTATTTAGACATATTGTTTAAGTGAATGAAAATAAATTTTAAGTTCATAATCTTAAATGGTATTGTTTTTATATAGTACTAGTGCAATGGGTAGTGCGGAGCGACACCCATCTTATTCAAAATTTTGCTTTCCTACTCTTTTTTAAAAAAATAAATACAAAATATATTATACTGTAAAAAATAAATACAAAATATATTACCACTTCTCTTTAATTTCTGTAAAACTCCGTGATTCTACAACTTGATG